CCCTGTTCCCCGTACCCCCCCTTGCGCACACCCCCCCCCCCCCCCCCCCCTTTTTTTTTCTTGCCGGCCCCGTCGTTCGTAGCCGCCCGTTAAAAAGAGGAGGCAAGATGGCCGAGCTGGGGAGCAAGGGGGTTACCGCCGGGAAAATCGCCAGCAACGTCCAGAAGAAGCTGACCCGGGCGCAGGAGAAGGTAAGGGGGGGGGCTGGGGGTTGCCGTCGCCGCCGTTTTCCCGGGATGCGGGGGGCGATGTGGGTACCGGGAATGACACCCCTTCCCAAAGCAGAGATGCGTCTCGCAATGGGTGCAGCGGCGACCCTGCCCCTCCCTTACCCCCCCCCCGGGGGGGGCTGTCAGCTGCCTTCTCTGCCTGCGGATTTAGGGCCCCTCTGCATCCTGAGAATGCAAAATATCGCTGTAAGGGTTTACCATCCGTCTGCACGCTCAGGATAAGCAGAAAGATGGCATCGGATTCAGCTGGGAGAGGGGAGGAAGGCACTTTTTTTTTTTTTTTTTAATATGTAGATGCTTATTGTTTCAGCAGGAGGAGACCTTTCTATGGTATTTAGGTTGTGCTTCATGCGACGATTTCAAGAGCCGTACTGTGTTTTGCGGTAGAGCTAAATACCTCAAAGCCGGTGAGGAAGAGGAGATGGGTACTGGCTTCCTTATCTCCTAACAGCATAGCATGATAGCTGCTACTTGCTTTTCTGACCTTGAGCTCCAGATTTTGAAATGGTGGTAAAGCAAAAGCCATACGGTCTTTAAAGATTGTGCCGACGTCTGCTGAGAGAGGGGTGGTTTTTGAATCCCGGGAGCCCTTTCGCTGCTCTCCACCCACCCCGGTGCCAGCAAAAGGTGCCAGGAATATGCAATGGATACTTTTCGTGTTCATCTCTCTGGCATGCTGCATCTGATGCCAGCTGCCCGCTCTGTGTAGGGATTATCGGACATTTTATGCAGGGACATTGATCAGCTGCTTTTTATCTCAGGCACGCTCGTCTTGGTTTTCAGTGATTTGCTGTGAGATGACATTGACTGAATAAGGACTGGTGCATCTTCGAGGGAGGGAGGGTGAACAGATCTGCCCACTGCTGCTCTTGTTCCCTGGGAGTTATCTTTAGCAACTAGATTTAATCTAGGAGGTTTGGGATTGGATACAGTGCTGGCCTGAGCCTTGTACCAATCGCTGACACTGTTACAAAATGCTGCTGGGTCAGAAAGGCAACCCAAACCTGTTGGGCCTAATGTTGCATGTGCTGCTTCCACTAGTTTAAGATCACTTACTGAGACTAGAGGCATGATTTGTACTTGCCTGACTGCTTGGAAAAAAACCCAGGCGAATAGCAGATCCAGCATGGAACTGGCTGCAGCAACAAGGTCCCGGCTTCACTCTGTACGTGAGAGTGCGCGTGGCCACATCTGTGGTTTTTCCCCTTACTGCGGTTTCAGGAGTGGACAGGGCAGGGAATCTGTCTCCTGGTATCTGGCCCACCTTGAACTCATCATAGATGCTAAATTCATTCTGTGTTAGCCACCAGATGGCAAGCATATTTTTAGTTAGTATTAAGGTAGGTGGTAAAGGCTGAGCTCCTTGGCCTGCTGATGAAGTTATTGTATTTATCAGTGCAGCCTGGTGCCAAGCGTGGCCTGCCAGGCCCTTCCCTGAGGGCTTCTTATCTGAACGCATGCAGGTTCTTTTCCTAGGGAGAGTTTTCCACAAATTCCTCTCAATTGGAGATCCAGTTCACTTCCTTGCTTATTCCCTGGTGGGTACTGGGGACGTGGGAATGATGACAACAATAATAATCAAGAGTTTAGCTGCCTATTGCAGGTGATTTGCACAATCTGAAATAAGTTGTTTGTCACTTTACACAGAAAAACCACAGATCGTTTCCCTCTAAGGAGAAAAGGAAAACAAAACCCCGAGCACTTGTTTAATAAGTTAACACAAATTCTAGGCCCTTCAGCTGTTTTTATCCGAAAGCAAACAAAATAACTTTGCTCTCTGGGCTCTCAAAAAGGGGAAAAAAAAAGGCATTGCTTGCTTCATCATCTGACTTGCCCCTTCATACTGCTGCAGCTTCATCTCTAACAGTTCTTTTGTGGAGTGTTAGGTGTTTTAAACTTGTCTCTAAGGGATAAACGTTCACTGAGGCAAACATGTGAATGTTAACTTTCAGCTGGTGAGGAAAGATACAGCTGAATAAAAAGTGATGAGGAAGGCACCACAGGTTATGGCACTATATTGGTGTTAGTCTTGTGGTATTTAAACTGTGATACTATGTTTAGCAGGAAGGGTAAACCGCAAGTCTGGAGGTAAGGACCAGGTGTTTAAAAAACAATAATAAAAAAAAGAGTGAGCAGGAGTGTGCAGGGGTACATCTGGGTACACAACAGACCAAGCTCTTAAAAATGTATTAGATTTTTGTGAAGGGATGTTGACTGGTGTTGAACTTTCCTTTTTGAGGCTTAAACAAGCTGACAGTGTTCCTTTTACATATCTTCCTTCGATTTGAATCTAGGATAAAAATTCTTCCCTTCAGAGTCATATCTCCCTCCCAACTTGAGCCCTGAGGCTTTGACTTCAGCAGTTTCCTTCGTGGTGAATTTAAGCCTTATGTTAAGTAAAGAATGATGTCTTTTTGTTCAATGCAGAATTCACACTGAAACCCTGTACACATCCTTTTTTCCCTTCTGAGATGGCTATTATGTAAAGTATGTAAGATATTTCTTCAAAAGTACTGTTTGTTTTAAGCCTTTCAGCAAAACTATTGGCTATTTTTGGAAGATGCTTTCTCAATTCCACAGGAAATGTGGGGCAGAATGGTTGACTATGCTGTTTGCAAATGGGCTGTGCACCCTTTTAACCTCTCTTTCTATTCAAAGGTAGCCTCAAGTACAACACTTGGCAATAATTTGCCCATTGTCCAGTGAAATGTATTGAAGTAAGTTGATGCCTCTGTCCAGAGGAGCCCACCTAGCAGAAAGGACCCATGCAACCATTGCTTACTCGATGTATCATCCTTTGCAACTAACAGTTAGGAGATTTAGGCTGGAAGTCGTGCTTTGTTCATCCTGTAGTTAGCTGAAGGATTTTCAGACCGAGACGTTGAGCTCTGAACCTTTCATAATTCTAAACTTCTTAAAATGGAGTAAAATTGTAATGCTTCCAGTGTCATGGTGTCTTGGAGAGTTTGCAAGCTCTTTTAAACTGCCAATAAGGATTCAAAGTGGTTTTTTTTTCTTTATGTCTGTAATCCATCATCTTGGTTAAAGTTTATGTTTCTGCTATGTGATCAACTTTTGTCTTATACTTTTGAAACTTTTAAAAACCTCTCCAATTTCCACAATTCTCATTTTTCTCAGAGTGTCCTGTTTCTGGATGTGTCAGACTGCACATGCACAAACATTTCTGCTTTGAACAAAATAAAACAGCATCTTGGTGACTTGATGCAATCCTGGTGCAAGGGTAACTCCTCTGCAAGGTTCCAGGAAGGGGGTTGAGCTTGGGGAGCAAATGGATGGGGGTTTTGTTGCTTGGCTGGCAGTGAGGGTCCTTGTCACAGGATCAGGCTCTTTGCTTTCCTCCAGCAGGTTAGGCAGAGATTCAGGGTGGAAGGATGATACTGGCTGTGCGGGCACTGGCTGATGATTTAAATTGCATACAGATTAATAGGCACGTCTGAGGAGATGAATTGTAAAGTTGACATCGGAAAGAGAGGTGTTTTGTCAGGAGCTTTTCTGCGTGGAGAAGAGTAGAAAGGGATGAACTTATTTTTCCCTTGCTAGACTTAGACTGAGAGTGGGAAGTTCCTATCCTATAGGAGTGGTGGTCTCTTGCTCTCTTTTCATTACAAAGCTGGGCAAAATGAGGAGCCTGTGTCCCATGACATGAATAGGCTGTCATATTTTTTTCATGTTTTTACTCTGATGCACCAACAAACCAAGGCATCCCCTTTTCTCCCTCTCTGTCCCTAACCAAAGGGGAAGGCTTTGTTCTAGGACCTGGCAAAGTTTAGTTTGGACATCCCAACTTCCTTGCATTAGGGGGTATCATTTAGGTCGTAGAGTCTGCCACTGACTTTCCATGTTGCCATGAGGTGTCACTTCTGCTTTCTGTTCTTGGCTTTCTTTATTTATCACACCGATGTTTACCCACATCTATATTTGCAAAGTTTCCCTGATTAAACCTTCTGTCAGAGCAAAGTTCTGCTCTCCTGTGGCTGCACAGTCCAAGGAGACTAGGCAGTAGTCCTGGTTTCACAGGGCTAGCGTGACCACAGTTGTTGGTAGCCAGGCTTGCTGATGCTTATTGCCTGCCTGCTACAGTGCAAAAAAAGATTTATATGCTAGTAAACCAAAGGAAGCAATTTGCAGTCCAGCAAGGAGAAATAACCAAGGACACTGGCCCTGAAAAGGAAGGGGGAGGATTGCTTTTGGCAAGCCTCTGTGGCATGATGTCTCAATGCTTTTTCCAATTGATTTGTCTCACGTAACAATTGTAGTAGCACAGACTGTGTCCAGAAAGGATCTTTTCCTTTTCCAGAACCTTAGGTTTTGTTTCTTTCCCCTTGTAATCCTTTGCTGGATGTGAGGAGGCTGTGATTTGGGTGGAAAGGGGTTTGCAGGAGGTGCGTCTTGCATTTTGAGTTTGCCCTGACAAGACAACCCCCCCCCCGCCCCAGACATGTGCCAATAGGTGGGGCATGGCATGTGAGAACACCTAGAATGAAATCTCAGCCCCGTTGAAGCAGGTGGGAGTCTATACCAATAAGCAGCACCCAGAAACCTTAAACCAAATTTAAATACAGCTGTCTTCAGGATTCAGCTGTTGGAGGCTGCCTGATCTGTAGAACCTCTGCAGGTGGGGAGGGAGGCTTTACGTAAAAAAAGGTAGATGCAGAAAGGTCTGTTATTGAGGAGTAAGTATCACATCTACCTACTTGGGAGAAGTTCCATACTGGTTTTCCTTCGGGATCCTTCTGTCTCTTCAAAGCTTCCATGGTTTTTGCTTGTCTTTGCGTAGGGTAGGATGGTTTGGTGGCAATCTGCCTTGTTGTGCCAGTGAAGTACAAATAGCCTGAAGACCTACAAGAGTTGCTGTCTTGCTGATGTGGCAGGAAACTTCCTTTTTTTTTCCTGGAGGACTCCCCAGATGACAAGTAAAGGGCTTTTTACTTTGTATCTGT